CATCTTAAGTTCCGATACTGACCGACCTGGCCAATGCACCATTTTTTTTTATACATGTGCATTGAATACATTTCAAACCTTTTTAGCTGACTAGATTTATACATTTCCCACCTTTTGATTGAGTGAGACCGTTAGATTCCCTCTACGTTTTGAGAAACGAGCGTTTCCGTTCTCTCTGGCCCCACCTGCACTATGAATGCAAAATGCCGGCGAGACTGACCGATGCACCATTTTCTCTACACATGTGCGTTAGTTACCTTTCAAACCCTTACGTTCACTAGATGACTATATTTCCTACTTTCTTTTTGAGTGAGACCACTTGATTCCGTGTACTATGCGAGATCTGAGCGCTTCTGTTCTCCCTGGCATTTGCATTTTAAGTTCCGATACTGACCGACCTGGCCAATGCACCATTTTCTCTATACATGTGCGTTGAATACATTTCAAACCTTTTTAGCTGACTAGAATTATATTTTTCCCACCATGTGATCAAGTGAGACCGTTAGATTCCCTCTACTTTTTGAGAAACGAGCGTTTCCGTTCTCCCTGGCCCCACCTGCACTATGAGTGCGAAATGCCGGCCAGACTGGCCGATGCACCAAGGGCATAGCGTGTGCAAAATAAAAAGAACAAGGGCCTAGCGTGTGCAAAATAAAAAGAACAAGGGCATAGCGTGTGCAAAATAGCAAGAACAAGGGCCTAGCGTGTGCAAAATAAAAAGAACAAGGGCCTAGCGTGTGCAAAATAGCAATAACAAGGGCCTAGCGTGTGCAAAATAGCAAGAACAAGGGCCTAGCGTGTGCAGAATTGCAAGAACAAGGGCCTAGCGAGTGCAAAATAGCAAGAGCAAGGGCCTAGCGTATGCAAAAAATCAAGAACAAGGGCCTAGCGTTCGCGAAATAGCAAGAACAAGGGCCTAGCGTGTGCAAAATATAAAGAACAAGGGTCTAGCATGTGCAAAATTGCAAGAACAAGGGCCTAGCGTGTGCAAAATAAAAAGAACAAGGGCATAGCGTGTGCAAAATAGCAAGAACAAGGGCCTAGCATGTGCAAAATATAAGAACAAGGGCCTAGCGTGTGCAAAATAAAAAGAACAAGGGCCTAGCGTGTGCAAAATTGCAAGAACAAGGGCCTAGTGAGGGCAAAATTGCAAGAACAAGGGCCTAGCAAGTGCAAAATAGCAAGAGCAAGGGCCTAGCGTGTGCAAAAAAACAAGAACAAGGGCCTTGTGTTTGGGAAATAGCAAGAAAAAGGGCCTAGCGAGTGCAAAATAAAAAGAACAAGGGTCTAGCATGTGCAAGATTGCAAGAACAAGGGCCTAGCGAGTGCAAAATAGCAAGAGCAAGGGCCTAGCGTATGCAAAAAATCAAGAACAAGGGCCTAGCTTTCGCGAAATAGCAAGAACAAGGGCCTAGCGTGTGCAAAATAAAAAGAACAAGGGTCTAGCATGTGCAAAATTGCAAGAACAAGGGCCTAGCATGTGCAAAATAAAAAGAACAAGGGCATAGCGTGTGCAAAATAGCAAGAACAAGGGCCTAGCATGTGCAAAATATAAGAACAAGGGCCTAGCGTGTGCAAAATAAAACGAACAAGGGCCTAGCGAGTGCAAAATTGCAAGAACAAGGGCCTAGCAAGTGCAAAATAGCAAGAGCAAGGGCCTAGCGTGTGCAAAAAAAGAAGAACAAGGGCCTTGTGTTCGCAAAATAGCAAGAAACAGGGCCTAGCGAGTGCAAAATAAAAAGAACAAGGGTCTAGCATGTGCAAGATTGCAAGAACAAGGGCTTAGCGTGTGCAAAATAAAAAGAACAAGGGCATAGCGTGTGCAAAATAAAAAAAACAAGGGCCTAGCGTGTGCAAAATAAAAAGAACAAGGGCCTAGCGTGTGCAAAATTGCAAGAACAAGGGCCTAGTGTGTGCAAAATTGCAAGAACAAGGGCCTAGCGAGTGCAAAATAGCAAGAGCAAGGGCCTAGCGTGTTCAAAAAATCAAGAACAAGGGCCTAGCCTGTGCAAAATTGCAAGAACAAGGGCCTAAGGTGTGCAAAATTGCAAGAACAAGGGCCTAGCGAGTGCAAAATAGCAAGAGCAAGGGCCTTGCGTGTGCAAAAAATCAAGAACAAGGGCCTAGCGTTCGCGAAATAGCAAGAACAAGGGCCTAGCGTGTGCAAAAGAAAAAGAACAAGGGCCTAGCATGTGCAAAATTGCAAGAACAAGGGCCTAGCATGTGCAAAATAAAAAGAACAAGGGCATAGCGTGTGCAAAATAAAAAGAACAAGGGCATAGCGTGTGCAAAATAAAAAGAACAAGGGCCTAGCGTGTTCAAAATTGCAAGAACAAGGGCCTAGCGAGTGCAAAATAGCAAGAGCAAGGGCCTAGCGTGTGCAAAAAATCAAGAACAAGGGCCTAGCGTTCGCGAAGCTGCAAGAACAAGGGCCTAGCGTGTGCAAAATGAAAAGAACAAGGGTCTAGCATGTGCAAATTTGCAAGAACAAGGGCCTAGCGTGTGCAAAATAAAAAGAACAAGGGCCTAGCGTGTGCAAAATAGCAAGAACAAGGGCCTAGTATGTGCAAAATTGCAAGAACGAGGGCCTAGCGTGTGCAAAGTTGCAAGAACAAGGGCCTAGCGAGTGCAAAATAGCAAGAGCAAGGGTCTAGCGTGTGCAAAATAAAAAGAACAAGGGCAAAGCGTGTGCAAAATAAAAAGAACGAGGGCCTAGCGTGTGCAAAATTGCAAGAACAAGGGCCTAACGTGTGCAAAATTGCCAGAACAAGGGCCTAGCGAGTGCAAAATAGCAAGAGCAAGGGCCTAGCGTGTGCAAAAAATCAAGAACAAGGGCCTAGCGTTCGCGAAATAGCAAGAACAAGGGCCTAGTGTGTTCAAAATAAAAAGAACAAGGGCATAGCGTGTGCAAAGTAGCAAGAACAAGGGCCTAGCATGTGCAAAATAAAAAGAACAAGGGCCTAGCGTGTGCAAAATAAAAAGAACAAGGGCCTAGCGTGTGCAAAATTGCAAGAACAAGGGCCTCGCGTGTGCGAAATAGCAAGAACAAGGGCCTAGCGTGTGCAAAATAAAAAGAACAAGGGTCTAGCATGTGCAAAATTGCAAGAACGAGGGCCTAGCATGTGCAAAATAAAAAGAACAAGGGCATAGCGTGTGCAAAAAAAAAACGAACAAGGGCATAGCGTGTGCAAAATAAAAAGAACAAGGGCCTAGCGTGTGCAAAATAAAAAGAACAAGGGCCTAGCGTGTGCAAAATTGCAAGAACAAGGGCCTAGCGTGTGCAAAATTGCAAGAACAAGGGCCTAGCGAGTGCAAAATAGCAAGAGCAAGGGCCTAGCGTATGCAAAAAATCAAGAACAGGGGCCTAGCGTGTGCAAAATGAAAAGAACAAGGGTCTAGCATGTGCAAAATTGCAAGAACAAGGGCCTAGCGTGTGCTAAATAAAAAGAACAAGGGCATAGCGTGTGCAAAATAGCAAGAACAAGGGCCTAGCGTGTGTAAAATAAAAAGAACAAGGGCCTAGCGTGTGCAAAATAAAAAGTACAAGGGCCTAGCGTTTGCAAAATTGCAAGAACAAGGGCCTAGCATATGCAAAATTGCAAGTACAAGGGCTTAGCGAGAACAAAATAGCAAGAGCAAGGGCCTAGCGTGTGCAAAAACTCAAGAACAAGGGCCTAGCGTGTGCAGAATAAAAAGAACAAGGGCCTAGCGTGTGCAAAATTGCAAGAACAAGGGCCTAGCGTGTGCAAAGTTGCAAGAACAAGGGCCTAGCGAGTGGAAAAGAGCAAGAGCAAGGGCCTAGCGTGTGCAAAAAATCAAGAACAAGGGCCTAACGTGTGAAACAAGAAAAACAGGAATGAAATGACTATGGAAGATTGGGTACAAATACAACCCTAGAAACCCTGTACCCCATATGTGCTACCCCACTATAGCCTACAGAAACTATGTCATATAAATCTGACACACCCCCATAGGCAAAGTGGGGGAGAACAAGGGGTCACAAGACCAGTCAGGTAAAGCAAAGCAGAGCAAGCTCAGGGTGGATCACAACGTCACCACACAGTCCGAGCACAAGAGCAGGGCCAGAGGCCAGTTCACATGCAGGAGTACAGACATATATATATAGAACTAGACAAGCAAGAGCAGGTATAAATATATGTAACAGTACAAGTGAAGTCAAGAGGAGAGCAAGTGAGGCAAGACAGGCACAAGACCCAGCTGGGTGCAAAAGCGCTGATGATCACAAGGCGCGAGTGCCTTGGTGATTACATCAGCAGTGTTGGCCTCAGAGGCCACGTACGCAAGTCGCAACTGACCACGCTGCTGCAGCTCACGAGCAAGGAAGTAGCGGAGAGCAATGTGCTTCGTTCTGTGCTCCAAGCGCTACTCTCGACACAAGGCCAGCATGGCCTTGTTGTCTACGTACAGCACTGGAGGAGAACGAGGCGGCTCTCCAAGGTCAGTCAGCAGGTAGGTGAGCCAGCGAAGCTCCTGTGAAGCCATGGCCCCGGCGTAGATCTCAGCCTCACAACTGGAGCCGAGAACCGAAGACGAGCGAGTAGACCGCCACGAGACAGAGCCGGAACCAAGGCTGAAGGTGTAACCCTGTGACGACCGCTGCGTAGCCTGGTCGTCAGCCCAAGAAGCGTCCGCGTGGCCGGTAAGGACCACTGGACTCCACCCTCCAAGCACTAGCCCCATGCCCGACGTGCTGCACAGGTAGCGCAATACCCTCTTCGCTGCAGCCATGTGCTCTGGTCTGTGTCTCCCAGGAGCAACATAGCGAGCAAGAATGCTCAGAGGGTATGCAAGGTCAGGTCGTGTGCAGGTCATCAGGTACATGAGGCAGCCAACAAGCTCTGCATACGGGCCACTCGACTCTACGGACTCATCCGAAGGCAGAGCTGAGAGTGAGTGGCGAGTAGGCAGAGGAGTGGCCTGAGGCGAGGAGTACGTGAAGCCGAAGCGCTGAAGGACCTGCTGCACCATGTGTGACTGAGTCAAGGTAATGGTGCGGCGTACTCTGAGGAGTAATGGTGTCTCTGCAAGCCAAGGTAGCTGCGCAGTTCACCCAGGTGTGTGCACGTGTGTCTCTTCAGCAGCTCGGACTTCACGTAGGCGAGTCCAGCAGTGTCCGCTGTGGCAAAGACCAAGTCGTCGACGTACACGAGGATGTAGAACGGCGGCAGGGAAGTGTCGGTGCGAAGAAACAGCGACGGGTCAGCAGTAGAAGGAGCAAACCCAAGAGCCGCAAGCGTAGTCCTCAGTGTGTCGTGCCACTCACGCGGTGCCTGACGGAGACCGTAGACTGGCCGTCGGAGGCTCCACTGGGTGCCAGGAGGGAAAGTCCCAGTGAAGCCAGGTGGACGGCGAAGCCAGATCTCCTCGTGCAGGCTACCCTGCAAGAACGCAGTGCTGAAGTCGAGAGAGTGAAGCTCGTAGTCGCGCTGAGCGGCTATGTGCAGCAGCACCCGAAGAGTAGTCATCTTCGGGGTGGGAGAGAAGGTCTGAAAGTAGTCAACTCCCTGCCGCTGACTGAAGCCACGAGCAACGTACCGTGCCTTGAAGACAGGTGGAGAGCCCGGCGGCCGCTTCACCCTGAAGATCCACATGCCACTGACGATGTTCGCCCCAGGAGGGGGAACCGCGTCAACGTAGGTGCCTGTGGACTTCCAGGAAGCCATCTCTGCATCCATAGCTGCCTGCCACTGAGAGGAGTAGGGACCCTCTACGGCCTCCGCGTAAGAACGCGGAGTCGGGATGTCTAGTGCATCCGGGTCTCCCTCAGGGGCAAGCAGTACAGACGCGAGATGAGGTGAAGCAGCCGCTAGACACTGTAACTCCTCCTGCCTGTCCTCTAGGACGTCCGTGCTTAGAGCACACTCACCCCCGACGGACGGAGGACAGACAGACGCAGACTCAGCAACAAGACTAGCAGCGTAGTCGAGACGACAGCGAGCAGCAAAGTCGACGAGATCAGCGACTAGAGCAGACGCAGCAGTGGACTCAAAAGAGGGGTCAGTGACGACAGTAGCAAGCAGACGCATGACAGTAGGACTGGCAGCACGAAGAGAGTCCGACTCAGGGTCGGCAAGCGCAGGAAGAGAGGACTCAGGAGGAGAAGGCAAAGGGGCACGCAGAGGAGCAGTGGACGGACGCAAAGACATCCGGTGCGTGCCAGGGACAGGAGGAGGACGCTGACGCGAACTGCGACCACTAGCGCGAGCAGCACGAACAGGCGACGCGGGACGAGACGCACGCTCACGACGCTCAGCAAGACCTCCAGTAGGACCAGTGTAAGGAGAGGGAGCAGGCAGTGGAGAGGAAGGCTCCAGTAGGGACTGCGACTGGACAGGCGGTGGACCCTCTACTGGAGGAGAAAGACCAAGAACCTGCTGCAGGAGCGGAACGAAGTACGGCCGAGGCCGCGCGGCAGCTCCAGACTCAGCAGGGACAGCACCAGCACCCTCTGCGACAGCACCAGCGCCACCCACACCTCCAGCGGCAGGACCAACAGCAGAAGGCTCAGCACCAACGCCCTCAGCAGCTCCAGCTCCAGGAGGACCAGTAGGTCCAGCAGCTCCGGGACCGGCAGCACCCGCACCCTCAACGGTCGAAGAAGCTCCAGCTCCAGCTCCAGCAGCACCTCCAGACTCAGCAGCACGCCTCCAGCGGCGAGCGAACCACTCGCGCAGTTCCTGTGGAGAGAGGGGCTCCCGGCGAGACGCAGCAGCAGGAGAAACCCCAGGCTCAGTAGCTCCAGACGCAGCACCCCCAGGCTCAGCAGCTCTCAGCTCAGCACCCCCAGGCTCAGCAGCTCCCGACCCAGCACCCCCAGACCCAGCACCTCCAGGCACAGCACCCCCAGGCTCAGCACCCCCAGGCTCCGCACCCTCCGCAGTAGCACCCTCAGGCCCAGCACCCCCAGCAGTAGTACCCCCAGGCTCAGCACCCCCGCGCACAGCACCCCCAGAGTCAGCACCCCCAGGCTCAGCACCCGCAGCAGCACCAGAGTCACCAGTAACCTCGACCGGGTCAACGGCGTCTACCTGGGACACACCTGAGGGGGCAGGAACCTGAGGGGGGAGGGGGTCTACCGGGGGGGGAACCGGCACAAGGAAGTCCGGGGGAGGGGGGAGGGAAGGAGTGCGGTAGGGGAAGAGACGGTAGAAGGGGACTGACTCGTCGAACGTGACGTCCTGGGAGGACAGAACACGACGAGAGGAGGGGTGGTAAAACTGCCACCCTGGGGCGTCAGTGGGGAAGCCAAGGAAGACACAGGGAGCAGCACGAGGGGACAGCTTGTCCGCAGACAAGTCGCGGACAAACGCCCGAGATCCCCAGACACGGAACACAGACGCATCGCCAACCTTCCCTGTCCACAGCAAGGCTTGGGACATCGCAGGCCGAGAGACCCGGGGGTGAAGGTTGAGCTGATGCGCCGCGTACCTCACCGCAAACGGCCACAGAAAATGGGGGGCAGCCGCATGCATCATGGACGTACGAGCGACATCCATGACCATGCCAATGCGGCGCTCAGCAATCCCATTTTGCTGTGGTGAGTCCGGAAGCGTGAAGGTCTGGCGGATCCCCCGTGCGCGACAGTAGTCTCGCAGAAGGCGAGAAGAGAACTCTCCGCCTCTGGCAGAGTGCAGACGCAGAACAGGAAAGTCCGAGCCGAAGCTCTTCCTGAGCTGGAGACGAGCCTCGCGGATCTAGTCGATCAGCACCTCAGTGACCTCACCCTTGCTGCGCAAGGGGAGGACTGTGGTGTAACGCGAGTAGTCGTCAACCACCAACAGGAAGTAGCGCTCGTAACCCTGCCCACGGACGGGGGCTGGGCCCCACACATCCATGTGAAGCGTCTGCAGGGGAGCCTCTGTCGGGGGGAAGTGGGAGGAGTGAGGAGTAGCCCGGAGGCGACCCTCGACACAGGGGACACAGGAAGGTCCTGGCCCGGAGGGGAGAGGAGGGAGAGACTGGGGAAGACCAGAGACAAGGACACGGGAAGCCATGCTCCGAAGACGGGGCAAGGAGGGGTGGCCAAGACGGTGGTGCCACAGGAGAGTCTCGTGAGACAGGAGGCGACAAGAACAGGGGGCAGACTCAGGACCTGACCGGGACGCAGCAGCAAGTACCTGACCCGACGCAGCCACCTGACCAGACGCAGGGACAGGAGGAGACTCAACGGTCAGGGTGTAGAGACTCGACCCCGGCCGACGCGAGAACGTGGCCAGGTGTCGGCCTGTGCGTGCCTCCGTGCAGTGGGTCACCCGCTGACTCGCAGGAGTGAACTGGTGAACACCCCCATCCTGCAGGTCCGCTCCACTCACCAAGTTCGTGGAGAACGAGGGAAGGTACAGACCCGACAGGGTGCCCGAAGGGGCAGCCGGACACGGGAGGACAGTGGAGAAGTGAGACAGGACAGGACCTCCAGAGGGGTCAGCAAGGGAGACTGCAACCGGCCGGCCGAGCGGCGATAGGGTAGTGCGGTCTCGAAAGAAAGAGCGAGAAGCTCCGGAGTCAAGTGTGAAAGTGAGGGAGGACGAGGACGACGCAGTACCTGAGAGCGCAGTCTCACTAGTACCTGAGAGCGCAGACGCACTGGCACCTAGAGCAGCAGCCTCACAAGCACCTAGCGCAGCAGTACCAATGCCCGGGTCGGGCTGGAAACAACGGTAACCCTCATTCTCCTCACTATAATCCACAACATACATAGCAGTAAGGATAGCATCAAAATCAAGATCAAAGATCGCTACACCAGCCCTGAGAAGCTCATCCCAGCGAGGGATCTCACTAGCCCCAGGGAACTGCTGACGCCAGGCGTCCGTCAGGCGGCCAAAGCAGCGCTGGGTGGCGTGGGCACCCCCACACTGCTCACCCGCGCGGTCGCCGGAACGAAGAACGTAGGTGCAGGGACCATTACCCCCACCCCTCTGACGCCCAGCGTACCACTCACGAAGCTGCTGAGGCGAAGGGATGTCCCGCGAGCGCTGCTGCTGCTGCCGGTGCGAGCGCTGGCCACCACCACCGCCGCTACGCTGCTGGGTACCACCCCGACCAGCTCCACCTCCTCCACCACTACTGCCTCCTCCGCTGCCGCCTCCACCGCCTCCACCTCCGCCGCCTCCACCTCCGCCGCTGCCTCCACCACCACCGCTGGCACCACCACCACCGTCTCCGCCGCTGCTGCTGCCACCACCACCACCACCACCCCCGCCACTAGTCCCGCCGCCACCCCCACTCCCTCCGCCGCCACCGCCGCCACCGCCACCGCCCCCTCCAGCTCCACCCGCGCCCTTGCCCCCCTTGCCCTTGCTGGAGCGACGTCTCCCACTAGGGGCAGACGCCGCGCCGACCGACTCAAGACCAAGCAGGTCGGCAGCAGCAGCAGAGGCAACAGAGGGCAGCAAGGGGGAAGGAGAGCACCCCTCAAAGATGGGGGTGCGAGGGTCACCACGAGAAGCACCTACAGCGACTATGCTCTTCTCCGCTGCAAGGAGGGCCTTCTCGAGGAGGTCGACGGTGAGGGTGGTGGGACAGACTGCGAGAAAGTGGTCCCTGACGACGCGAAGGGAGTCAGGGAGGCGCGCGACTACGTAGTAGAGAGCGATGTACATGGGGGGGGGGGGTTTTAGCGCAGAACTCAGCAGGAAGGGCGGCGCGGTAGCGAGTGTCACTAGTGCGGAGGTGCGTAATGAGGTCAGCGACAGTGGGAAAGGCAGAGAGGTCAGGAAAGAGGTAGGGAAGCATGAGACGGCTCAGTGCAGCAGTGGCAGGGGAGGAGTAGCGCGCAACTACAGCGTCGTACAAGGTCTGAGCACTCTTGTACTGACTAAAGTGCGCACGCTCAGAGGTAGGGAGGTGGCGACGCACAGCAAGACGTGCAGCAGCATCGTGGGTGGCCCACTTAGAGCGGACAGCGGGATCAGCATCAGCAGCAGGAGCAGGAGAGGCGCCAGAGGTGAGATCAAAGAGAGAAAGGTCGTCAGCCCTGTCGCACTGTAAGAACAGCTGCAGGTCGTCTAACCAGACCTCAAAATCAATGGCGCGACCCTCAGCGTCAAAAGCTAGGACACTAGGGGTAGCCATGGCGACGACAGCGACGCAGTGCAAGCAGCAGGGAAAGAGCTCGCAGTGGCAGTGGGACTGTGCTCACCAGGCAGGGCGGGTCGAGTAGGTATGCGGAAAGGCGGCTCAGCGACCTGGCGGCTCGGGTGCTGGGCGGCTCGGGCGCAGGGCAGCTCGGCTCCCGGGCGGCTCGGCTCCCGGGCGGCTCGGCTCCCGGGCGGCTCGGCGGCTAGGCGGCTCGGGTGCAGGGCGGCTCGGCTCCCGGGCGGCTCGGCGGCAGGGCGGCTCGGGTCCCGGGCGGCTCGGCGTCGGGCGGCTCGGCTGCTGGGGCGGCTCGGCCAGGAGATTCAGGGGCGGGGCCGTCAGGTGCAGCGGCGGGTTGACCGGTGCAGTGGCGGGCCGGCAGGTGCAGCGGCGGGCCGGCAGGTGCAGCGGCGGGCCGGCAGGTGCAGTGGCGGGCCGGCAGGTGAAGGCGGCGGGCCGTAGGGTGCAGTGGCGGGCCGGCAGGTGCAGCGGCGAGGCCGTCAGAGGCGGCGGGCCGGCAGGTGCAGCGGCGAGGCCGTCAGAGGCGGCGGGCCGCTGGGTGCAGCGGCGGGCCGGCTGGTGCAGTGGCGGGCCGGCAGGAGCAGCGGCGGGCCGGCAAGGGAGGCGGCGGAGCCGAGTCAGGGGAGGCGGCAGGGCCGCGTCAGGGGAGGCGGCGGAGCCGCGTCAGGGGAGGCGGCGGTGCCGCGTCAGGGGAGGCGGCGGAGCCGCGTCAGGGGAGGCGGCGGGGCCGCGTCAGGGAAGGCGGCGGGGCCGCGTCAAACAGGCGGCGGGGCCGCGTCAGGGGAGGCGGCGGAGCCGCGTCAGGGGAGGCGGCGGGGCCGCGTCAGGGGAGGCGGCGGGGCCGCGTCAAACAGGCGGCGGGGCCGCGATCAGGAGAGGTGGCGGGGCCGCGTCTGAGGGACAGCGGGGCCGCGAGGGAAGAGGCGACCCGAGGGGTCGCTAAAAAAAAAGGCGCGCCTCGGGGCGCGCTTCGGTGGGCCCTAAAAAAACGGTCCTAAGGTAGGACCCGCTCTATACCATGTGAAACAAGAAAAACAGGAATGAAATGACTATGGAAGATTGGGTACAAATACAACCCTGGAAACCCTGTACCCCATATGTGCTACCCCACTATAGCCTACAGAAACTATGTCATATAAATCTGACATAGCGTTTGCGAAATAGCAAGAGCAAGGGCCTAGCGTGTGCAAAATAAAAAGAACAAGGGTCTAGCATGTGCAAAATAGCAAGAACAAGGGCCTAGCGTGTGCAAAATAAAAAGAACAAGGGCATAACGTGTGCAAAATAGCAAGAACAAGGGCCTAGCGTTCGCGAAATAGCAAGAACAAGGGCCTAGCATGTGCAAAATAAAAAGAACAAGGGTCTAGCATGTGCAAAATTGCAAGAACAAGTGCCTAGCGTGTTCAAAATAAAAAGAACAAGCGCATAGCATGTGCAAAATAGCAAGAACAAGGGCCTAGCGTGTGCAACATAAAAAGAACAAGGGTCTAGCATATGCAAAATTGCAAGAACAAGGGCCTAGCGTGTACAAATTAAAAAGAACAAGGGCATAGCGTGTGCAAGATTGCAAGAATAAGGGCCTAGCTTGTGCAAAATAAAAAGAAGACGGGCCAAGCGTGTGCAAAATAAAAAGAAGAAGGGCCTAGCGTGTGCAAAATTGCAAGAACAAGGGCCTAGCGTGTGCAAAATTGCAAGAACAATGGCCTAGCGTGTGCAAAATAAAAAGAACAAGGGCCTAGCCTGTGCAAAATAAAAAGATCAAGGGCCTAGCGTATGCAAAAAATCAAGAGCAAGGGCCTAGCGTGTGCAAAAAATCAAGAACAAGGGCCTAGCGTTCGCGAAATAGCAAGAACAAGGGCCTAGCATGTGCAAAATAAAAAGAACAAGGGTCTAGCATGTGCAAAATTGCAAGAACAAGGGCCTAGCGTGTGCAAAATAAAAAGAACAACGGCATAGCGTGTGCAAAATAGCAAGAACAAGAGCCCAGCGTGTGCAAAAAAAAAAAAAAAAAAACCTTGCGTGTGCAAAATTGCAAGAACAAGGGCCTAACGTGTGCAAAATTGCAAGAACAAGGGCCTAGCGAGTGCAAAATAGCAAGAGCAAGGGCCTAGCGTGTGCAAAAAATCAAGAACAAGGGCCTAGCCTTCGCTAAATAGCAAGAACAAGGGCCTAGCGTGTGCAAAATAAAAAGAACAAGGGCATAACGTGTGCAAAATAGCAAGAACAAGGGCCTAGCGTGTGCAAAATAAAAAGAACAAGGGCATAACGTGTGCAAAATAGCAAGAACAAGGGCCTAGCGTTCGCGAAATAGCAAGAACAAGGGCCTAGCATGTGCAAAATAAAAAGAACAAGGGTCTAGCATGTGCAAAATTGCAAGAACGAGTACCTAGCATGTGCAAAATAAAAAGAACAAGGGCATAGCGTGTGCAAAATAAAAAGAACAAGGGCATAGCGTGTGCAAAATATACAGAACAAGGGCCTAGCGTGTGCAAAATAAAAAGAACAAGGGCCTAGCGTGTGCAAAATTGCAAGAACAAAGGCCTAGCGTGTGCGAAATTGCAAGAACAAGGGCCTAGCGAGTGCAAAATAGCAACAGCAAGGGCCTAGCGTATGCAAAAAATCAAGAACAGGGGCCTAGCGTTCGCGAAATTGCAAGAACAAGGGCCTAGCGTGTGCAAAATGAAAAGAACAAGGGTCTAGCATGTGCAAAATTGCAAGAACAAGGGCCTAGTGTGTGCAAAATAAAAAGAACAAGGGCATAGCGTGTGCAAAATAGCAAGAACAAGGGCCTAGCGTGTGCAAAATAAAAAGAACAAGGGCCTAGCGTGTGCAAAATAAAAAGAACAAGGGCCTAGCGTTTGCAAAATGGCAAGAACAAGGGCCTAGCATGTGCAAAATTGCAAGAACAAGGGCTTAGCGAGTGCAAAATAGCAAGAGCAAGGGCCTAGCGTGTGCAAAAACTCAACAACAAGGGCCTAGCGTTCGCGAAATAGCAAGAACAAGGGCCTAGCGTGTGCAAAATAAAAAGAACAAGGGTCTAGCATGTGCAAAATTGCAAGAACAAGGGCCTAGCGTGTGCAAAATAAAAAGAACAAGGGCATAGCGTGTGCAAAATTGCAAGAACAAGGGCCTAGCATGTGCAAAATATAAGAACAAGGGCCTAGCGTGTGCAAAATAAAAAGAACAAGGGCCTAGGGTGTGCAAAATTGCAAGACCAAGGGCCTAGCGTGTGCAAAAAAAAAATAACAAGGGTCTAGCATGTGCAAAATTGCAAGAACAAGGGCCTAGCGTGTGCAAAATAAAAAGAACTAGGGCATAGCGTGTGCAAAATAGCAAGAACAAGCGCCTAGCGTGTGCAAAATAAAAAGAACAAGAGCCTAGCGTGTGCAAAATAGCAAGAACAAGGGCCTAGCGTGTGCAAAATAGCAAGAACAAGGGCTTAGCGTGTCCAGAATTGCAAGAACAAGGGCCTAGCGAGTGCAAAATAGCAAGAGCAAGGGCCTAGCGTGTGCAAAAAATCAAGAACAAGGGCCTAGCGTTCGCGAATTAGCAAAAACAAGGGCCTAGCGTGTGCAAAATAAAAAGAACAAGGGTCTAGCATGTGCAAAATTGCAAGAACAAGGGCCTAGCGTGTGCAAGATAAAAAGAACAAGGGCATAGCGTGTGCAAAATAGCAAGAACAAGGGCCTAGCATGTGCAAAATATAAGAACAAGGGCCTAGCGTGTGCAAAATAAAAAGAACAAGGGCCTAGCGTGTGCAAAATTGCAAGAACAAGGGCCTAGCGAGTGCAAAATTGCAAGAACAAGGGCCTAGCGAGTGCAAAATAGCAAGAGCAAGGGCCTAGCGTGTGCAAAAAAACAAGAACAAGGGCCTTGTGTTCGCGAAATAGCAAGAAAAAGGGCCTAGCGTGTGCAAAATAAAAAGAACAAGGGTCTAGCATGTGCAAGATTGCAAGAACAAGGGCCTAGCGTGTGCAAAATAAAAAGAACAAGGGCATAGCGTGTGCAAAATAAAAAGAACAAGGGCCTAGCGTGTGCAAAATAAAAAGAACAAGGGCCTAGCGTGTGCACAATTGCAAGAACAAGGGCCTAAGGTGTGCAAAATTGCAAGAACAAGGGCCTAGCGAGTGCAAAATAGCAAGAGCAAGGGCCTAGCGTGTGCAAAAAATCAAGAACAAGGGCCTAGCGTTCGCGAAATAGCAAGAACAAGGGCCTTGCGTGTGCAAAATAAAAAGAACAAGGGCATAGCGTGTGCAAAATAAAAAGAACAAGGGCCTAGCGTGTGCAAAATAAAAAGAACAAGGGCCTAGCGTGTGCACAATTGCAAGAACAAGGGCCTAAGGTGTGCAAAATTGCAAGAACAAGGGCCTAGCGTGTGCAAAATTGCAAGAACAAGGGCCTAGCGAGTGCAAAATAGCAAGAGCAAGGGCCTAGCGTGTGCAAAAAATCAAGAACAAGGGCCTAGCGTTCGCGAAATAGCAAGAACAAGGGCCTAGCGTGTGCAAAATAAAAAGAACAAGGGTCTAGCATGTGCAAAATTGCAAGAACAAGGGCCTAGCGTGTGCAAAATAAAAAGAACAAGGGCATAGCGTGTGCAAAATAGCAAGAACAAGGGCCTAGCATGTGCAAAATTTAAGAACAAGGGCCTAGCGTGTGCAAAATAAAAAGAACAAGGGCCTAGCGTGTGCAAAATTGCAAGAACAAGGGCCTAGCGAGTGCAAAATTGCAAGAGCAAGGGCCTAGCGAGTGCAAAATAGCAAGAGCAAGGGCCTAGCGTGTGCAAAAAAACAAGAACAAGGGCCTTGTGTTCGCGAAATAGCAAGAAAAAGGGCCTAGCGTGTGCAAAATAAAAAGAACAAGGGTCTAGCATGTGCAAGATTGCAAGAACAAGGGCCTAGCGTGTGCAAAATAAAAAGAACAAGGGCATAGCGTGTGCAAAATAAAAAGAACAAGGGCCTAGCGTGTGCAAAATAAAA